GACAAGGCAAGAAACAAGAAATGTTGGAGAGGTTGTGGAGAAAGGGGAACCCTCTTACACTGTTGGTGGGAATGCAAGCTGGTACAGCCACTTTGGAAAACAGTGTGGAGGTGCCTCAAAAATTAAAAATAGAGCTACCCTGTGACCCAGCAATTGCACTACTGGGTATTTACCCCAAAGACACAGATGTCGTGAAAAGAAGGGCCACATGCACCCCAGTGTTCACAGCAGCAATGTCCGCAATAGCCAAACTGTGGAAGGAGCCGAGATGCCCTTCAACAGATAAATGGATAAAGAAAATGTGGTCCATATGTAAGAATATTACTCAGCCATCAGAAAGGATGAATACCCAACTTTTACATCAACGTGGATGGGACTGGAGGGGATGATGCTAAGTGAAATAAGTCAAGCAGAGAAGGTCAATTATCATGTGGTTTCACTTACCTGTGGAACATAAGGGATAGCATGGAGGACATTAGGAGAAGGAAGGGAAAAATGAAGGGGGGAGATCGGAGGGAGAGATGAACCATGAGAGACAATAGACTCTGAGAAACAAACAGGGTTCTAGAGGGGAGGGGGGCGGGGGGTTGGGTCAGCCTGGTGATGGGTATTAAGGAGGGCATGTACTGCATGGATCACTGGATGTTATACGAAAATAATGGATCGTGGAACACTACATCAAAAACTAATGATGTATTGTAAGGTGACTAATATAATAAAATTTTTAAAAAATTAAAAATTAAAAAGAAATTAAAAAAATAAAAATCCAGTTAGCTCATCAAACATGGGTTTTCTCCCTGGGTATCAAGCCTGTTTAGGGCACTGGGGACCCAAAGGTGGAAATGATATAGCTCCTGCCTTCAAGAGGGCTGACTGGTGGGAGAGAGACCCTGAGCTGATAATGCAGAGGCCAAGGTGAAAAGTGCTACAGATGAGGCTCTAACCTGGTTCCAGGGAGGCCAGTGCAAAGAAAAGGGTATTTGCATTGGGTTTTGAAGGATGAACAGGAGTTTGTCAGGAGAAGAAAACAGAATGGAACTGGCACAAAGACAAAGGCCAGTTGTAACATATCCAGAATCAGGTGACTGGGAAGGGGAGGGATGGTACGAAGGAGCAGGGGCTATGCGTCTAGGGAAGAGGAGACGGGGTACTGTGGGTCTACAGATCCCAGGGAGCTGGGCTCCTGTGAGGGGGTGGCCTTGGGGTGCTAGGTGCATTTGGAGGGTTGGGGATGCCCAGCAGACACCCCCTCTCTGATCTCTTCTACGTTGGCATCCACCTAAGATTTCTCCCGAGGAAAGGATGGTGTGGCAAGAGCCAGCTGGGAAAGCCAGGCAGAAGGGCCTGGTGGCCAGGTGTGTGGGCCTTAGGTGCAGATGGTCTGGCTGGTCACTGTGGCTCCTCCTGACCCTGTGTGGCCGAGGGCAGCCTCAGCTTCCCCCCACCTCATGAAGTAGGATAACACAGGAACTGGGTCCTGAGGCTGGTATGGGGACCGAATGAGCAATTGTGATGCCGCTGGCCCCTTCCTGAGCACTTCACCGGGATGAATACTCATCATCCTCTACCACCCAGTGAGGAACATTTTACAGGAGAGGAAACGGAGGCACAGAGAGTTTACATAACTTGCCCAAGGCCAGGCAGTCTGATGACAGAGTCTGGGCTCGCAGCTGCTAGACTTCTCTGTGTGATTTTTGGACAAGTTAAATAACCTCTCTGGGCCTTAGTTTCCTCATCTGTAAGATGGGAATGATAGTGATGCCTCCGTCGTGGGGTCACTCTGAGGATTAAGAGCATCCCTGCATGCCAAGTGCGTGACCTGGGTTCCTGGCTTTGGTAAGGTGTGCGCATGGTGTGCATTTGCTGGTATATTGTTGGGACGGGCGGAGTGGGGTCTGCGCAGCTCGGTTAGCACAGGGCCAGGGATGTGCTAAGGCCTCTGCAAACGTTAGAGAATACTGTTGACGCTACTGTTATCAGTCCCCACCTGAGATTGAGCGTTCCCTTGGGGCTTCTGGATCTGACGGCTCTGCTGCCCTCTCCCCGTCCCGGCTACAGGCCAACGAGAACAGCCTGCTGAGTGCGCAGCTCAAAGGTTTCCCTCTGTTCCTGCACTCAAACCTGGGCCTGAAGGACTGCAGCATCAACCCCAAGTCCCCGCTGCTCTACGTGACACGGCCCAGCGAAGTGGAGAAGGGCGTGCTACCCGGCGAGGACTGGACGGTGTTCCAGTCAAACCACTCCACCTATGAGCCGGTACTGCTGGCCAAGACACGCTCCTCCGAGTCCATCCCGCACCTGGGTGCGGACGCCGGCCTGCACGCCGCGCTGCACGCCACTGTGGTCCAGGACCTGGGCCTTCACGACGGCATCCAGCGCGTGCTGTTTGGCAACAACCTCAACTTCTGGCTGCACAAGCTCGTCTTTGTCGATGCCGTGGCCTTCCTCACGGGCAAGCGCCTCTCGCTGCCTCTGGACCGCTACATCCTGGTGGACATTGATGACATCTTTGTGGGCAAGGAGGGCACACGCATGAAGGTGGAGGACGTGAAGGTATGGCCAGGGGCGGGGGGCGGTGCCGGACAGGTTGGGCTACGGGTGCCCCTTCATGACTTCACTGTCTGCCTCTCCCCGGTGCCGTGCATGTCCCCCTTCCTTGGCCAGGTGGCTTTAGTGATTGTTTTACTAGACAAAAGTGTCACTGGAGATTATATTGAAGCATTGGATATAGAAGAATTTTGGCGTGTGGAACTCAGAAATATACCTGTGGAGGGAGAGACTCCATCATTGAAGCCCAGGGATGGGAGCTATGCAGGGTTACATATCTGCCTTTTAACCCAGACGTGATTTTTCACTCTCAGAAATGTTTATGTCAGTACCAGAGCTCCCGCAAAACTTCTAAAGCAAGAATTAGAGCTTGAATCATACACAGGCATATTTTAACTGAGGTCTGTATAAATAGTGGAATGCATGTGTTTATTTCAAAAAGTGTTTACCAAACTAAACTGTATATAAAAGCATTTTGCAGACCATGACATTTTACACACATGCATCACTACTAAAGAGACCATTAAGCAAGCTTTAAAATGTGCTTTTCATCTAGTCTCTATTTTACTCAAAGTTCTTTGCAAAGAAAACGACATCACTAGTGTAAGTGGGGGAAATCAGTACTGGTTGCCATAAATAGAGGGCAGGCACAACAGTGGATCCAAGGAAAACAAAACCAGGGGATTAAATTCTACAGAGATTGTGCTGCCTGATGACCCCGTCCTCCCTTAGGAGATTAGCAAGCGTTAGAACATATTAGCACCAAATCCAGACTTCGCTTTGATGTTCAGATGGCAAAAGAGACTTCTAAGAGGAGTGCTTTCCTCCCAAGTGAGTCCGGTTGTGGGTGCTGTGTTCCCTGTCCTCCTGAAGTCACTGTTGGGGTTGGCCCTGGGGCCTGGGAGGGAGGCCGTGGGGCAGGAGTGAACACTCTACTCTTCCTTACGCCGCCAGAGGAGAAGAGCACAGCAGATGGTGTTGGGGGGCAGGCACCGTGTGGGGAGTCAAGACCCATTTGACCCTAAATTGACTGGAACTCGTGGGCAAGTCCCTTCCCATGTCTGAGCCTCAGTGGTGAACTGACAAGAGGGGCGGATGGGAAGTTTTCAGGTGCCCCCAGCCCCCGGGGGGTGGTTTACAGAGGGGCCTGTGCAGATGGGCCAGGCTTTGAGCCCTCCCAGCTCCCATCTCGTGGGGCGGGGCTGTGTTGCTTTGATCTGCTTTACACATTGTGTTTGCTCCTGAGATTTCACCTCCTCAAGGGCTGTCCTGTTGAAAGCAAGTGTTAAGATGATTCCTGTTGAGGCTTTCCAGCTCTGAGGCTTCATGCGATGCCATAACCTACCTCTGACAAAGCAGATCGCTCTGTTTCCTACTGAGGGCGCTCTTCCGCTCTCTCCTGCTGACCTTAGTGTTTGCTGCCTGTCCAGGTGAGTCCTTGAGACTGGTTCAGGGTTGATCCCACAGGGAGACCAGGCTACCAGGCTCACTGTGTCCCCTCATGAGCCCTGAGGTTGCCCTGCTTGCTTTTTATTTTCCCCACTTTCACAGCGAGAGGGGTGAGAGCAGTTCGGAGCTGTTTCTGTCGAAGAGTACTAATAGCGACGCCCTCTCCCGCGTGCTCAGCCCCGTGCACACTGCCGAGCGTTTCGCCAGCCAGGGTCCCACTTGTCTTAAACATCCTTGTGAGTCTGAAGGGGCAGAGGTTTTCTCCCTCCCCGTCCCTTCATCCCAAGCACAGGCTGCAACTAAGCCTTTCTGAGACACGAATGTCGCCTCGTTAATTTGGACAGTACCAGCTGTACGGTGCACCTTAAATCACAGGGACAGCAGCTGCTTCTTCAGGGCGTGGCAAATCCAACCTCTGCGCTTAGCCCTTTGTGGGTATGGCCTCAGGGGATCCTCACAGCAGCCCCATGAGGCGGGTATCGTCGTAAGTCCAGTTTCACAGAGGAGGCCACTGAGGCTCAGAGAGGTGCATTACTTGCCCAAGGCCACACAGCTAGAGCAAGCCTGTCTGTCAGGTAGTGCCTGGCCTTGGTGAGATGCTGATGGTGGCCCCAGGAGGGCCAGGACTGTCTGTTTGCGAAGTGGTCTGACAGCAGGCTCCTGCTGGTGTCTTAGCAGCCTCGTGTGCTGTGTGTGGGTGGTGTGTGGGGCGGGAGGATCTTTTGGAATCCTGACTCCAGAGTACAAGCGTGTGTTTTGTTCTGCAAGCGTTAGCCTCCCCTCGTTGGCTTGCCCAGCATGGGGTGTGCCATGCACGGGGACATCGCATGGCTGGGGACGCAGTACGTCTTCAGAAGAGTCATGATCCTGTGATATCGGCCTTGCGCTCAGCGGGAGAGACCCTCCACATTTGACAGCCGAAGATCCAAGGCTCATAGTGGCAGTGACCACGGACACAGCCATGCCACCATTTTACATTACTTACCAAAATGTCAGGCACTTTGACATGCAGGGTCTCATTCAATCATCCCAGGAGAAATTATTATCTCCATCTCACACGTGGGGAAACTGAGGCCTAGGGCAGTCACAAAGCTTTCTCGAGGGCACGTAGCAGAACCGGGCTGGTGTCAGGTCTTCTCTGGCCAGAGGCCTGGGGCAGGTGGCAGCTCAGGGCTGGCTTCATGGGTGTGGGACCCTGCGCTCAGAAGGGGCCTGTACAAGATTAGTGCTCTGCCATGGCCTTCTTGATATTTTAATTTTGGAGCAAGGGTCCCACATTTTCATTTTTTGCTGGGCCCTACAAGCTTTGCAGCTGGTCCTGCAACAGTAGGATCTTTCTGGGCCCTCAGTGGGAAGAACAGGGAGTTCCCAGCTTCCGCCTCACCTGCTTCTTCTTCCTCTGCCTATCCTAGGCCCTGTTTGATACGCAAAATGAACTACGCACACACATCCCAAACTTCACCTTCAACCTGGGCTACTCAGGGAAATTCTTCCACACAGGTAAGTGGGCCTGGCTCTGCCCCCACGAGCAACTTCCAGGGGCCCTCGGCATCTGGATCCGTGGAGTGCTCTGCCACAAGGGCAGCAGGTGGGCTGATGGGCCCACATCAGGGCCACATTTGACCCTGGTGGCCTCCCCGCTGATCCAGCAGCCCACAGAGCAGTCAGCCCCAGGCAGAGGGTATTTGGGGGCAGCAATAAGACAACAACATCCCTCACTCATCCCTCCCTGTCCTTCAGGCTGTGCTGCCTTTGGGGACATCTTCTCCCTCTGTCTCCCCCTCTCCTCTGTCTTTTAAAATTATTTGTCTTATGTCTGCTTAAAAAAGTAATTGGTTGAATCTTAAGAACATCATAGAAATATATAGCATAGAAAGTGAGAATGCCCTCCAATTGTTCCTGCCCCGGAGTTGGCCATTGCCATTTCATTTTCAAGTCTTAAGGGTCGAGGTTGAGGGTGTAGGTTGCATGGTTCATGCCTTCCCTCGTCTTTTGGGCTCTCCCAAGTTCCTCAAATGCTGCCCTTCTGGGCCAAGCAAGAGGGAAAGACCCCTGAGCCATCATCTGTAGTCAAGGTTCCCTGTAGGTACCTTCTGCTTTGGCTACAGTGTGGAGAGCCTCTCTTGAATTCTAGGAAAAACCCTAATACTCTGCAGTTCTGGGGGGAAAGTCTGCAGCATCGTCCCAAGGCCAATTAGGAGCAATACTGGGTTGTCTGAGTGCATTTTTCCCATTCTCGGCCCTCAGCATTTCAGGGGTAGTTTGAGTCATAGCATGAGACAGGATTAGACATCCTGTATATATACCAAGAGCTTCTCAGATCATTAAGTAAAAGACAAATGACAAATGGTCCAATACACAAACAGGAAACAGATCAGAGCAGGCCTATCAGAGCTGGGAGAAACCCTTGGGACTGTGGATTGCACACATGGGGCCCAAGGGCCCAGAGAGGAGAAGGACTTGGCCAAAGTCACTGCTTGAGTGAAGGCCCCACTCTGGACTAGAAGGCAGGGCCCTGGGCGCTGTCTGCTCCCACCCGGTGGCTCTGGTAACTCTCTGAGCAGCTCCTGGGTGGGCTATGGCTACGCGCTCCCGCCCCCGGGCACCAGCCCCCATTGGAGAGCCTCACGGTGGCCGGGCTGAGCAGGCCTGCACTCTGGCTGCAGGTACTGATGCTGAGGACGCTGGGGATGATCTGCTGCTGTCGTACGTGAAGGAGTTCTGGTGGTTCCCCCACATGTGGAGCCACATGCAGCCCCACCTTTTCCACAACCAGTCGGTGTTGGCCGAGCAGATGGCTCTGAACAAGAAGTTCGCTGTCGTGAGTAAGATTCCCTACAGGGCGGAGCTGGGGGGGCCGGGGGCTGGGGGGTCCGGCCTGCTGACCTCTCACTGCTGTTTTGCAGTTCCGTCTGACAGCATTTTATTAGTATCTTTATAGCCACTGTCTCTCTGAAGCCTCTCAGAGACCCCAAGAGGTGGTTATCGATATTCTCCCTTTTAGATAAGACACCGAAGCTCAGGGAGCCCGCAGCAGCTAGGAGGAGGTCCAGCCAGAACTTAAATCCAGGCCAGTTTATTTCCTGAGTCCAAGCTCTATCTTCAGGTCGGAGTGGGAGGCTCAGGAAAGCTGGAGCTGGTACTTGGGGAAGAGGGGACGAGGCCCAGGTATGGGCTCAGCCTGGGCCTACCAGCCAATCAGAGGCCAAGACAGGCAGGAAGAGCCCCTGTCCTTGCTCCTCACTCCAGGGTGCCGGAGGGCATGAACTCCGGGCTGAGAGTTAAGAGTCCCCCAGCGTGGTCAGTCCCTCACTCCGAGACTCTTGACTTGGGGCCCATCCCTTTCCCTCCCTGGGCCTCAGCTTTCCCATCTGTACCACGAGGGCGTGGACCCACTGCCCTGCCATTCCAGCCTGTTGATTTCTCTCTCCCGTTCTACCAAGGGGAAATGAGACCCCGTGGGGAAGGAACCCTGTGCTTACCCCGGCCTGGCCCTCTTCTCCCCAGGAGCACGGCATCCCCACAGACATGGGCTATGCAGTGGCCCCCCACCACTCGGGTGTGTATCCCGTGCACGTGCAGCTGTACGAGGCCTGGAAGCAGGTATGGAGCATCCGTGTGACCAGCACGGAGGAGTACCCCCACCTGAAGCCGGCCCGCTATCGCCGCGGCTTTATCCACAACGGCATCATGGTGAGTGGGCCCCACAACCTGTGAGGCGGATGTGCACACACCGTCTGGGGAAGCGTGGCTTGCGTGCGCGGGCTAGGGGTTGCAGGCCAGGCTCTGCTGCCCGCTCTGGCATCCAGGGCTCTCAGTCCCAGGGAAGGCAGGCTGACGGTCTGGCCCTTTCCTGAGCTCCTTTTTAGCGTTCGTGATGGGATCAGGGGCTGAACATTTTTTAAAGGGGCCTCTGGTGAGGACTGTGCGGGTGAGGCCTCTGTCTCATTCATTTGCTTATTGAAACATTTTTAATGAACTTCTACAGTGTGTCTGCCCCTGTTCTAGGCACTGGGGATAGAGAAGTGTACAGAACCAACGAGTGTCCCTGCCCTTGTAGACCTGACATTCTAGTGGCAGGAGACAGACAGTGTGCTCACAAATGTGTGACATTTGTAACATATGGCCAGATGGTGTGGTGATGGGGCCATGGAGAAGAGTCAAGCAGGGAAGGGAGATTGGGAGTGCCAGAGGAGAGGAGAAGCTATTTTAAATAAGGTGATGAAGAAGGGCCTTCCTAGGAATGAGCCATGCTGCTATATGAGGAAAAGCTTTAAAGGCGGAGAAAGCAAGTGCAAAGGCCCTGTGGTAGGCACACTTTGTGTTAGGTGTGTTTGAGGACCAACTAGGAGGCCAGTCTGGCTGGAGGGGAGCAAGTGAGGGGGACATGAGGTCAGGGGGTGATGGGCCAGATCATGTAGGGCCACAGAAAGCCATTGGATGGACGTTAGCTTTTCTCTGAGATGGGAAGTTTTTGCATGGAGTGCTGTTAGGATCAGACTCATTTTTTAAAAAAGATTTCTCTTGTTCTGGCTGCTGTGAGTTCCAGAGACTGCAGGGGACAAAGGGGAAGGCAGGGAGACCAGTTGGGAGGCCACTTCAGTCTTCCAGATGAGAGAGTGGTGGTTCCATCAGGGTGCAATGTTGGGATATGATCAGATTCTGGACTTACTTAGAAGGTCAAGCCAACAGGATCAACTAGTGATTGGAGGTAGGGTGTGGGGGAGAGAGATGAGTCAGGATGACTCCTGGGTTTTTGACCTAAGCCACTGGAAGGATGAATTGTTGACAGTCCAGATGGGGCATGTGTGGGAAGGCCAGATTTATGCTTTCATCTGTCCATCCATCTGTCCATCCATCCATCCATCCATCCATCCATCCTTCCTTCCTTCCTTCCCTCCTTTCTCCTTCCCTCCCTCCCTCCCCTGGCCTCCTCCACACCAGGCATTCATATTCTCTCTGGGAATGAGGTGGTATCCAGACAAGCAAGTTCCCTGTTCTCTTGGAGCGCAGTTTTATGAAAGGAGACAGAGAATCAGCAGTTAAACCAGCACGTGACTGGGAGAACTGGGCAGGTTCTAACGCTGTGAGGGGGTTGCGAGGGTGACTGGGAGGACTGCTTTGCAGAAGGTCAGGGACCTTTGCTGGGCAGCCATTCTCACTTGCCTATCTCTGCTACTTTGGGGCCTGCTCATTTTGTTACAGGGAAGAGTGGTGAAGTTTGTAAAATGGCAAGGGCCCGTGGGCTCACTTGAGGGAATGTTGCAGGCTGCAGAAGGTCACGAGGGGAGAAGACCCCCAAGAGTGGGGGCTGTGCAGTCACACAAGAGGCTGCCCTTCTGCGGAGACACCCTGGCCGTTCACCTGAGGGAGGGTCTTCTGCCGCCGTCCGTGCCTGGAGATGCCATAGCTCTCCCCTGCCCCGTCCCCAGGTCCTCCCGCGGCAGACCTGCGGCCTCTTCACACACACCATCTTCTACAATGAGTACCCTGGTGGCTCTGGCGAGCTGGACAAGATCATCAATGGGGGCGAGCTCTTCCTCACTGTGCTCCTCAATCCTGTGAGTGCTCATAGCCCTGGGCTGGGGGTGAGGGGCCGCTGCCGGGCAGCCTGTCTACAGCCAGGGCTGGCTTTCCTGGGCCTGGGGAGGAGGGGGCGGCCGCCGGTATGAGGGTGGGGAGTGGGCCAACCCGCTCTGCCCCCCTGGCTCTGGCCCTGCTCTGCTGTGTGACCTTGGGAAGAGAATCCAAGTTGTCTTTCCTTTTTCCTTTCAGAATCTTGTACTTCACTGCAATGGTGTGAGCATTTTGGTCTGTGTTCTCTTTCCAGTCTTTGTGTGTGTGTGTAAATATGTGGATGTTATCTACTAACATACATAGTAAATCATTAATCTATAAGCTATATATGTATATATACATATATTTTGAAATACATATATTTTAAACTATTCATCTGAGCTTTCTGGCCCTCTCTTTCCTTATCTGTAAAATGGCAATAATCATCCATGCTTTAATACCATTAAGTAGATATCCAGTGGTGGTGGTATTCAGCTTTACGGGATAACCGAGCACTCCTTGTCTTCCATGAACACCCCACCAAGAAAATACAGAAGAACACCCACATGACTGCGCAGTAGGTCAGCCTCCCATTTCAGGGTTGCAATAGTTGGTGGTCAGTCAGACGTGGCTTCACCTGGCTGTGCCTAGGCCAAGTCACACAGCAAGTTTGCTGACAGCCCCAGTGAACCTTGGACTGGTCATAGAGTGACTCTGCAAAGCTGCAGCAAGACCAGAAGAGTCCAAAGTGGGGTGGAGGGTGAGGGCTCAGATGCTGACCGGCCCCGCCCCCCACCTCCCTCCCCTGGAGCAGATCAGCATCTTCATGACGCACCTGTCCAACTATGGGAACGACCGCCTGGGCCTGTACACCTTCAAGCACCTGGCGCGCTTCCTGCACTCCTGGACCAACCTGCGGCTGCAGACGCTGCCCCCCGTGCAGCTGGCCCAGAAGTACTTCCAGATCTTCTCCGAGGAGAAGGACCCGCTCTGGCAGGTGGGTGGGTGGGTGCGGTGGTGCAGACATGGGATGTCCCAGACACACGGCAGACGTGGGCTTGGCCCTCACACCCTCATAGTCCCTCTTGAGTGCAAACCAGCACAGGCACACTCGCTTGTCACACGCACATATATGTACACACTGCCCACGCAGATGTGCATGCGTGCACACTCACACACACCTTCCGAAAAAGCATTACAAGATTGTAAGTGAGCAGAGTGTAGATCAAGTGCAGATCCAAGCAACTGCCTGGCCTGGTTGGACTCTTAGATAGTCCTTTATACCCCTTCTCACACTAGAAGGCTCTGTACCATGGGAGAGGGGACTGATGGGAGGTCTTGAGGGGCCAGTTCTTGGGGAAGTCTTCCCCTGGGGACTGTCAAAATCTGGAAACAGAAGCTAAGCTGGAATGGAAGCAGTCTCATAGTTCAGACCAGGGGTCCACAAGCCCCGGCTCATGGGCCAAATCTGGCCTGCAGTCTGTTTTTTGTAAATAAAGTTTTATTGAAACCCATCCACACTCATTCTTGTATGTACTGTTTAGGGCTACTTTCGTGCTACAACAACAGAGTTGAGTAGTTGTGACAGAGACCAGGCAGTACTCCAGCCTGAAATAGTCACCAAACACCAAAGATTTACTAACTTCTCCAGAGAAAGCTTGCTGACCCCTGGTTCCGACACAGCTCATCCAGTTAATTCAACAAGTGCTCGTGAGCTGCTGTTGTGTGCCAAGCCCTGGGCTGAGTGTTTTGCTAGGACTAACTGGAAGTGGTCGTTGCCTGCTAGCAGCTCAGTGTCCTGAGGTGGGGATGTGACAAGGACACACGTAGTTACTCTACCTGGCAGTGCTGTAAGAGCCACATATCCATGTGCAATGAGAGTCTGTTCATTGGGTTTTGGGCCACCCCCTAACATTCCTTCCACTGTTGTTTTAGGACCCGTGTGAGGACAAACGCCACAAAGACATCTGGTCCAAGGAGAAGACGTGTGACCGCTTCCCAAAGCTCCTCATCATTGGCCCCCAGAAAACAGGCAGGTCTCTCTGCTCCTGGCCAGCATCCCCCACTGCCACGGAAATCCGTGTCTCAGCCATGGAATTCTGGGGACCACCTGGAATGCCCTGGCTCCACTCCCCAATAATCTGCCCCCCCCTTTCCCAGGAAGTGAGAGTGAAGTTGGGATGAACATGAACTGCCTATCAGTATGGAAGTGGGGAGGGGGGTAGAGGGGTGGAGGGTGGGTGTAGAATTTTCCTATCTGTCCTGAACCACACCTCAGGGAGCTCTGTTTCTGGGAGTCTCTGAGTCTAAGGCAGAGAAGCCCAGATCAGCTGTTCTGCACATTTGAGCAGTGCCAGGTAAAACTGGTTCAGTGCAAAGGGGATTGCAATCAATTAGTCGTGTTTGCCAGGGGTACAAGAGGGAGGAGAGGTGATACGCTTGCTAAGTATTTGCCACCCACACACACTGTGAACCATGAATGGGTATGCCCATTTTACAGATAAAATACTTGAGGCTCAGAGAAGTGAAGTGACCCCCCCTGACACATTCAGTTAGGAAATGACAGGTCTAGGTCTTGAACCCTTATCTCTCTGACCCCCAAAGCTTATATTATACTCTTCAGGAAACTAAACTCTATAGTCTCTTTCTCTTCTAGGACATCTCATTATAGCACACAGGAAAGGAATGAACTCTCTAAAGGAGGGGGTAGGTCCTGTACTGTCAAGTAGGACAGAGTGTGAGTGGGGGAAGGGTTCCCAGAAGGAGAAGGCATTTGAGCCAAATCTCTTAGCCCTTCACGAATTTCACATCAATAGACTGCAGGGTTTGGAGCTCCCTTTTCTTTGAGCTCCTCCCACGTGTCAGAGGACAGAGGCCCAGACCTGGAAACCATCTAGTTCTGGGATTATGAGAAGACACCAATGAACTGGGCATGGCTGCTGGAGTACAGTACGTGGGTGGGAAGGATTCTGAGGCCAAGTTCTTGTTTAGTGTTTAGGATGCCATGATAGATTAGTGATGTCTACAGTGGATGTAGGAGTTGGGGTGCCCACACGCATGCCCTGTATTTGCTGTCCTGGCTTTCATAAAATTCTTTTGATTGCACAGATACAGAAACTAAGCCCCAGAGAAGGCAAGGGACTTTCCCAGGATCTCCCAGTGAGTCATGGAGAGCTGGAGTCAGAACCTGGGATCCCAGACTCCCATGTTTGAGTTCGGGGCTGGGCCCTGGTCTCAGCTACCTTCCATCCCTGCAGGCACCACGGCCCTCTACCTGTTCCTGGGCATGCACCCGGACCTCAGCAGCAACTACCCCAGCTCAGAGACCTTTGAGGAGATCCAGTTTTTTAATGGCCACAACTACCACAAAGGCATCGACTGGTGAGTGACCCTTTCTGTCCAAAGCTGGATGGGAGCTTGCCGTCATGGAGTCTGCCCCAGAGGAGGTCTGCTCTGCTCACAGTAGGAAGCAGCTGGCCCTTGCTCACACACAGCTGAAGTTCCTGTAAACAGGGACAAAGCTCAGTGACCCTTGCACTCATGATGTTGGAGCCTTATCACAGGCGGGACACTTGATGAGGAAGCCCTTTGCCCCTTTTCGTCACCACCTGGGCTCAGAGACTGCTCGAAGTGGGAGCCAGCACCTCCCTTGCTTGCAGGAAAACCACCTGAGTCCCAGAGGAGCACAGGGACTTGCCCAAGGTCCCAAGAGTTGAGGACAGAGCAGGGGCTAAATTGCAAGTGTTCTAACCCCAAGAGCTGGCTAAACTTTGCTTGCCTGATTGTGGAGCAGGAGGTGTTCTTGTGAGCCCTTCAGAGGCGGCCTGCTGGCCTTTGGGGACTTTCCTGGGGAAGTGGTGGAAATTGCAGCTTCCCTCCAGAACCTGTCACCGGACGTTAAGGTGGCGCGGGGCGGGGCGGGGGGGGGGGCGCTTCGTGGGGATAGTTTTACGCTCCAATTATTTCAATTTGCATCTTTCTCTACTATTCGCCTTTTCTTTCCCTATACATGTATTGCTCTTGTTTATTATTTTCATGTCAGTGGTTTACCCGGGTGGAGACATTATGGCCATTCTTCTGTTTATTTGTTTTCTTTCCATACTTTTTTCTTTCTCTTTTGTCAGCCTGTTGTCTGCCTACCCCTGGCTACCCACCTGTCTCTGTCTCTCATATGGGTACCGTCTCTTGTCTAAAACCCACTGTAGCCAGATGTGTCACTGGAAGTCACCTTCTCTCAGGTTTTAGGGAGGTAATATGGTGCAACACCATACATTTAACCGTATTTCCGGCAGGGTCTGGGGCAGCACCCCATCAGCAAGTACCCCAGCAGCAAATACAATACATCTATAGCAAAGTCTGTGAATATTTACACTAAGATTAGTAAGTCGGGTTTTGCTGCCAAATGGCTTTGCTAAAGCCTTGAGGGGAAAAGCTTCTATTTTCAGAGCTTTCTCAATTTAGGTGTTACAAACAATGGCCTGTGGGTATACAGATGCTATTTCATAAAGAAAATTCAGAAATACACTTGAAACTAATATAACACTGTATGTTGACTGACTAGAATTTAAAATATAATAAATAAGAAAAAAAAATAGAATTCAGAAATAGGAGAGAGCTAGCAATTCCTCAGCCCCATTCCCAAGATTTTGATTCTGTAGGTAGGTGTAGGGTGGGGTGAGGAATCTCAGAAGCCCCAAGGTGGTTCTGATAAAGGGGTTCCTGGGACCTCCCTGGAGTAACCCTGTCTCCCAGGATATAGTAGGGGTCCTACACCCTCACCTAAGGTGGGCCTGTGGGCTTTGATTCCCATAAGCCCCTGAAATTGTACCTCTATTTTGTATGAGTAGGTGCCTGTGAGAGGCTCTGGAGCATTCATTTAGCTTCTTGAGGTATCCTCCATCCAGAGCTGGGCCCACAGGTTGGCATGGACGTCCCTCTGGGTGGGATATGGGAGGTTCCTCTGGAAAGCCAGCAGCTGACCCACGTGAGGCCTGGGAGGGGTGTGGCTGGCAGGCGGTGATACACTCCCCATCTCTTTGTCTCCTGGTCCATGGTGACATCCTAGAAAGTGCCATCCTAGGCCAGGAAAGAAACCCTGTACTCGGGAGACAGGAGCGGGTGTCTCTCGGGTCCATGCTGTTTCTTCCCGGGTCGAAGGTGTCCCAGTTCTCCTCCTAGAGGCAGTGAGTTAAGGCCCTGTCACTTTAACTGGGAACATCTTATTTAGGATTCAAAGACACACACCCCCATCCCATGCCTTGTAACCCATATCACTTCCGTAAGTCTTCCCATCCTCCTGACTCCAAGGTACCCCCTGAAAAGGAATGATTCAACAAAGGGAGACTGCCTGGTGGCCATCCGTCCATCTCAAATCCCTGCCAGGAGCAGGTCCTTGGGATCAATGTGCCTGCTGGCTTTCTGAGTTCTACCCCCAGCAACCCTCACCCTCTCATGCTGCATTCCTCAGGCCCCCTTCTCGTGAGTCTTGCCTGTGAGCTCTTCTCTCTGGGCTTCCTGCAGGTACATGGAGTTCTTCCCTATCCCCTCCAACACCACCTCCGACTTTTACTTTGAGAAAAGCGCCAACTACTTTGATTCGGAAGTGGCGCCCCGGCGGGCAGCTGCTCTGTTACCCAAGGCCAAGGTCCTGACCATCCTCATCAACCCAGCGGACCGGGCCTATTCCTGGTACCAGGTGAGCCACGGCCGGGGTGCAGCCCTGGGTAGGGGCATGGGGCTCTGTCCATCCCTCAGCTACTCATAACGTCATTCGACAGATATTTACTAAGCACCTACTATGTGCCAGCCCTAAGCTAGCCTTCTGGAATGCGGTGGTGGGTAAGAATAGAGTCTCAGCTCCACAGGGCTTCTAGCTTAGTGGAGGAGACAGGCAGAAATCGACATTGCATCCCAGCCAACAATTACCTGCCCACCCTGCTAGCTTCACCATGGGTCCCGCCTCTGATTCTGACACTAACAAGAGGTGGAAGGTGGTTCCACCTGGATGAAAGGGAGATTTGGTGAACAGTGATCATACTAACTGGTCTCCTCACTGGACACTGGGTGGGGTCGGGATGGGGATTCAGAGAAGGATAAGATATAGGGCTCCACATTCATAGTAGAGGATGCAAACACCTGATCAGATAAAGAAGTTACCTGACTGTTGTCTATGGGAGAGAAGGTATGACTCCTAATCCCCACTCGACTATGTAAGAACCAGAACTTCCTTTAACTTCAGTGACCTGACTTAATTTCTTCTGAGCACTAGGCTTACAGAACAGCCTAGACTCAGGCCTTTTGGGAGGTTTCTTCCCCTGCCTGCCAATCTTCCTGGGATTCTGATCCAGTGCCAGGGCATGGGGGGTAGCTCGTCCACTAGCTGGTCTAGGAAGACCTCCTCGGGTCAGGCCGCTTCCAGCAGCTCCCTGCCACCCTCTGAGCCTGTCACTTCCTCTCTGGGGCCTCCCTGCCTCTGCAGTCCCGGCGGGGGTGCTGGGTACAGACCCTACTTGCTCTCTGGTCCTCACAGACTGTCCCTTCTCTCACTGCCCACCCTGAGCTGTGTGTGAGTGTGGAGGCTCAAGAGAGCGTGACCCCTGGTGGGCAGGTTCCTGGTCTCTGGATGCTGATGGCCCATGGCATTATTGTAGGTGGTTCAAACATGGCATTTCCCCCTTTCTGATTCTTTTCCTATCCTGTCTTAGTCTGTTCGAGGAGCTGTAACACAGTATTCATGGACTGGGGCTTAAACAACAGGAGTTTATTTCTTATAGTGCTGGAGGCTAGAAGTACAGGATCAAGATGCCAGCAGCTTTGGTTCCTGATGAGATCACTCTTCCTGGCTTTTAAACAGTCACATTTTCACTGTGTCCTCACAAAGCAGAGAGTAAGAGAGAGCGAGCGAGAGCAGGAGCACCCACTCTCTCTGGTGTCACTTCTTACAAGGGCACTAACCTCATCATGGTGGCCCCACCCTCCTGACCTCATCTACCCACAATTACCTCCCCAAGGCCCCACCTCCAAATACCATCATATTGTGGGTTAGGACTTCAACACGGGAATTTTGGGGAAGGGACACAAACACTCAGTCCATAACACCTTCTGATTTCTATAAAGGACAAATTCTCAGTTTAGTGTAAATGGCTCTTAAGTCCTTTCTAACATTGCTAAGCTCTGTTTTCAACAAAGAGAGTGCAAGCGTTGGGCTCAGGGCCTATAGCAGACATTGTATCTGGCTGGCATTTGAGAACATTGCTTTGTTTTTATTGTATTTATGAATGATTACCTTCTGTATGTGACAACTAATTCAGGTCTTCTGCTTACGGAGGCAATAGTGAGTTTTATTTTGAAATAGTTTGATGTGAATAAGAAAGACGAGTCAATGTAAATCAAAGTATGTGGACCTCGGCACATACAGGTGGCTTGTGGATATGGGAGACATCGGAGAGATGACAGGCAGATGACCAGCCTTTGAAAGCTCTGATCTAGTCCCACTCCTGTCTTGCAGAGATGGAAAAACTAGGGCTCTGAGGGGCCATGACTCCCCAGAGTCAAAGAGCAGTGGGAGGCAGAGCCGGGACTTGAACCCAGGGCTGCTGGTCACAGCCAGGGTCTTCGGGCCACTTCATGGCTGCTGAAGAGAGCCTCTTCCTTTGTGCCCCCATGGGACGCACTGACCCTCTCCCCTTGCCTGCAGCACCAGCGAGCCCACGATGACCCAGTGGCCCTGAAGTACACCTTCCACGAGGTGATCACAGCTGGGCCCGACGTGTCCTTGAAGCTGCGGGCCCTTCAGAACCGCTGCCTGGTCCCCGGCTGGTACGCCACCCACATTGAGCGCTGGCTCAGCGCCTTTCACGCCAACCAGGTAGCTGCCGGTCCCTGGCCCTTGGGAGGGCACTCACAGTTCTGGCTTGGGGCAGCTAGCAGAGAGTCTCGAATCTCTTTCGTCAGCCGTGGGGCCCAAAAGGTCCTCATTGGCGAGCTAGACCTTTGGGGGCTTCGAAAGTTTCATTCTTGTTTATCCCAAGGCCGATGTGTGAAAATTCCCTAAGCCCCTGTCCTGTCGCCGGGCTCTGTGTCCCTAAGGGGATCGCAAAAGCCCTGGGGTAGGTTATCTTCCTGGGAGGGCTGTGGTGATGTAGGGAGAGCCTGGTCAGAGAGGTAAGCAGGGCCAGATCACATGAGGCATTTAGGGAAACCCTTGGAGGGTTGAGGCAGGAGAGTGATGTTGGGCCAGAGGCTTAGAGAGAGGCAGAGAGGGATATGGTAGGGTTGTGCGGGGCAGGCAGGAGTGGAGCGACAGCTTCATCTCTAGGAGAGGGAAGCTGGTAGAGGGCAGGGAGTTGGACTGCAGAAGCCTGAGGCGCGGGGACACCTGCCGCTCGGAGGTGGAAGAGGAGGTGGAGACTGTACCGTGAAGAGTGCCCAGTTTGTAACCATGGCTGGTGACCAGGAGACTGGGAACCTGTTTGCCCCTGGAGGAAACACAGGTTCAGATCATCCTTCTCTGTTTCCTCTTTCTTCCAGATTCTGGTCTTGGATGGCAAACTGCTGCGAACAGAACCTGCCAAAGTGATGGACACGGTGCAGAAGTTCCTTGGGGTGACCAACACTATTGACTACCACAAAACCTTGGCGTGAGTGTTGCCTTGGCTTTTCAGCAGGGTGATTTCCTGAGCAGGCACCTGGGCCAAAAAGCCAAAGGCTTGAATGATTATGGAAGAGACACAGATACATTAGAGTTAGAAAGTGTGCATATTCCTGATGGCTGTTTAGCAGAAAAGCTGATACTAATATGATTTGAATCATATTAATAAAGGTTATCAACTCAAGAAAAAAGGAGGTGGTGACTATGTCCTACTCTGGTCAGTTCCACCCTGGGGTTTTCTTTTCAGTCTGTGCTGAACATTTTCGAACCTTTTATTAAAGTAAGTTCGACTAACATTAAGCAGCCCTAGTTCCCACAAAGGTTTCTTAGCATTGGATCATGATTTAAATGTAATTTCAGGGAAAGGAAACTTCAGATATTGCCGATGGCTTATAATCCCACTCCCTCAGAACCTGGCACAAGGGCACTGAGAATGCCCTCCCACGGTGTGGGTGGAGGTCAGCCTGTGTGGCAGGCGCTCAGGGCTGGGGAGTGGTTGCGCGTTAACCATGTTACAGACAAGTAACTCACTCACCTGTGTGGGGTGGGGGTGGGTCTCGAGAGAGGGAGGAATAAAGTCACCTTCCCTGGCTACCTACTTGGGAAAGTCATACAGCAAGAATGTTCCCTTCTCACTATCTTGGAGGTTGAAGGTGAAGAAGAGAAGCAGTCCTTTACCTTGAGGCAGACAGGGGCAGCACCTAAGGGGGTTGGGCCATTGGCATCCGAGATGCCTGGGTTAGGAGACCCACTACTTCTTTAGCTGTGTGATCTCGGACAAGTGTCTTAGTGCCTTCACACTTCACTTTCCTCATCTGTAAATTGGGAATAAAGGTTTTGACTCCTAGACCTCCCGAGGGTCGCTGTATTGCATGAAGCATACATGTGGAGCTCTTAGCTCAGCGCCTGGCACGTACTGATGCTCAAAGATCGTCTTCATCATCATCATCATCTTCTTCTTCTTCCTTTATGCCTACCCTGTGACCCATTCAGAAATCCCTGTCTCCCACACCTGCCAAATGTGAATTCTGTTTTCCAGCTGTCCTTATGCCGAAGCAGCTCCTAATGGTTCCAGATCTGGGGTTGAATTCTGATGCCAGTGTGCCTCCCCTCCCCTTGGCAGCTTCAGATCTCATCTCCCTCCCCCACCAAAAACCTCTGAAGGCCCAGCATGACTTCAAATCCTGAAGGCAGTCTTGCTCTGTCATTCCTGAAGTTTACTCCAAAAGCCAAAACTTTCCAGTGATGGACATGCTTAAGCACAACTGCAGATACTGCATTTCTGGAAAAATAGACAATTTATAAAGACACACACCCAAAACCCCCACTAAGCTTTTTCTTCCCTATTGGGTTCTTGGGTAAAAAAAACTGCTCAGCCCTGAGTAGGAGAGTGCTTAGGAAAGGTTTCCCCACGTCCTGAAGGACAGCACGTGATCCTGTTCTGGGTTGCTTGCTGGAGGGACTTGGGCCGCCCCGCCTGGACAAGAGCAACTCAGAGCACATGAGGTGCTTTCTGCTGGGGAGAAGAGGGCAGGCGTGTTCAGTGTAGCCCAGGGCCGGCAGAAGCAAGCCCCAGCCCCACACATCTGTCTATCTGTGGGTTCCAGAGTGTGCTTAGGGGAGTGGGTTTCATGGCCTAGGCTCTGCCACTCCTGGGGTCTGTGACCATTGCCTTAAGGTGGGAAGGGGATGGGCTGGGCCAGCTCCCATCCATAGGCTTTCCCCACCTCCACAGGTTTGACCCAAAGAAAGGATTTTGGTGCCAACTGCTCGAAGGAGGAAAAACCAAGTGTCTGGGCAAAAGCAAGGGCCGGAAATACCCAGAGATGGACCTGGATGTAAGTGGGCACACTGCCTGTGGCAGCTGGATCACTGTGGGGGTCCCTGACTGGCGGGGGTCCCCTCTCCCCTTTACCCTGCACTCAGCACCTTAACGGCCTTGGCCTTTCTTGGGTGGTGTTCTTACAAGGAGGAAGTCGAAGCTGGGACATGGTGGGTTAGAATAGATTTAGTCCAGCGAGAATTTATTACCTTCTGCCTAGGGCTGAGCGCTGTGGGCTTTGAGGATGGATGAGACGTGTTCTTTGCCTTCAAGGGACTCCTAGTCTGGGAGGGAAATAAGTCACACACACACCAGTAAGAATACGAGGCAGGACGCGCTTTATGCAGTAAGAGAACTGCACACGAGTGCTAGGGGATTTCGGAACCGGAGATGCTACTGAAAGGGACCCCGAAGGGGAGGGGCTCTGGAGCTGGGCCTGCGAGGACCAGGCAGCGTTTGGCCCGAGGCATGGATGGATAGGTGTTCTTGTGGCAGAGAATGGCATGTCCAAAGGACGAAGGGCAAAGGTCACACGCCGTGACTTCCAGTCTTCCTGATTTTAATTAATTCCTTCTTTTCTCCCGATCACAAGAATTTTGACCTTGTGTACTATGCTTTGGTGTCCTGCCATCTAGCTTTCTTTTGGAGGCTACCAAGGAAGATGGTGAATAAATGATAGGTGTGTGGGTTGACACTGACCGAGTGGTGGGTTTACAGAGGGGAGGGGTCCCTCTGGAATCAGCACGTCCCTGAGATCTGAACTCTCCTTCCTGTTCCAGTCCCGCGCCTTCCTGAAGGACTATTATCGGGACCACAACATCGAGCTCTCCAAGCTGCTGTATAAGATGGGCCAGACACTGCCCACCTGGCTCCGGGAGGACCTCCAGAACACCAGGTAGCCACGGCCACCACAGCCAGACTGAACGTATGTGATGGCCTGGACGGCCTGCCGCATGCTGAGCCAGACTGACCTGCAGAGTGGGGAGCTGGGCCTGGGCTGGCCAGGCACTTCTGAGCAATATTCAGCTGAGGCCCAGGCAGGGCCAGAAGAAGAACCCAGGCAGGTCCACAAGCGCCTCGGAGCATCCAGTGCTGGGTCTGTGGCCTCCAGGACCTCCCTAGCCACCAGAGGTCCATTCTGTTCACGGCCTTCCGTGGGGAGGCCACTCCCTGTTGGTGGAAGGCCACTTCCTGGTGAGAGGGAGTCCGTGAGACTTCCTTTTCTGTCCCTCACTGTGTTCTACCGACCATGCCCTCCCTTCATCCCATCAGTCCCTGCGACGGCAGGGTCTCCCCTCAGTATTAGCTGCCATATTTTCCCTGTCCTCCAGACAATAGGGAGAAGAGCCCAGCGGGGCCTTTTGCCAAACAGGGGAGAGAGACTGGATGCTTCCCTCACTGTTTTGAGCCAGGCACTTCAGAGGGGTCAGCTGGGTACCCAGAGTCACTGGGCTGGATGTGGGGGTAGCCACCTCAAGAGAACTCTGAACCTCTACACACATTCTGGTTAATACCTTCACATCTCACTTTCCCTTTTGGGGAAAGAATCGCTGATTCCTACAGTATCCACCCAGTCCTCAGGGCCTCCTTCAGGACCCTGGGGCACTGTCATGCCATTTGGACCCAGAGACCCAGGCCTCCCTCCCCCTGTTCCTCACCCTGGGATATGACATGTGGTATTTCCTGTGGTAAAAGACTGAGGCGGTTCAGGAGTCTGCCAGTATACATGTCCCAATGTACATATGTTGTCCCCACGCCCAGCCCCAACCTTGGCCCCTGGCAGACACTGGGCAGCGTGGGTAAGACTGCCATCCACAGCTTTGCCCCAGCTACCTGTGGCCAAGGGCTCCTAGAGACCCCCTTAGCCGCCCCCCCCAAATACTAAGAAGCTAAAGTATTTTAATATTTTGTTTTTTTTCTTGGTGCCAGAGTTTATACCCTGGGTGCTGGGGTCGCACTGTGTTATATATATATATAATGTGTATATATATATATTATATTTTTTTTGGTTGGGTTTGTTTTTAATTCAGTCGTACAAAATGGTGGCAAGCCCCAGTGTCCTATCTCAGTGCTAGAGAATGAGGTGGAAGGGAGGGAAGGGTGTGTCTTCGTGTGTCCAGGCCTTGGGGAGACAGTGTGGAGGTGCCCCTCGGAGAGGTCTCTGTTCCCTCCCCAAATGTCACAGCTGCCCTGGGGCTACTGCAGCTGGACAGAGGTGGTGAGAGGTACAGGAAAGACCTACTCTCTCCAGGACACCTGGCTTCATGAAGCGCAGTGACCCTGGAGGAATTTTGGCCAAAGGAAACAGCAGGGCTGGGGTGGGAGGCCATGGGGCTGAAGGCCAGCCTGTCCCCTCCCCCCTCACATGGTGCTAGGTTGGGAGCTGCCCTGGGAGCTGGGCTGCCCGCCGGGACCCACAGAACTGTCTCCAGGCCCCCTGTAGACCACGGGATCTTGGGGCTGTTTTCTGGTTAGGGTCTGCTCCTACCCCCTTCTTTAACAATGTGAAGTGACTAAGGCTGGGCGCCTCTCCCCAGCCCCTCCCACTGCCAGTTCAGCTTCCAACCGAAATCCAGAAAACCCTTTCTGGAGAGCCTTGTCTTGTTCAGAAGACTAGCATCTTGGGACGGAAGGGGCCTTTCGATGGGTTTGGAAACAGGTCCAGAAAGGCGAGATGGCCTCCTTGGCTGACATCTCAGAACTGGGTGCAAGCAGGGCCAAGAATTAAACCTGAGGCTCCTGATTCTGAGTCCAGTGCTCTTCTTCCAATGCCACACTGCCTCTGAGCCCATCCTGGGGACCCTCCTCTGTGCCAGCTTCCTGTCCCTCCCTTAGTCACACCGTGGTCATTCCAGGATAGGGGACAAACCACTCCTTCCCAGCCAGGGTGCCTTTGAGCTTTCTCCGTTCCTGGTCTGCACACGCAGTCCTGCCTTGCTCTCCCTGAGAGGTCCTCCCCTGGTCTGTGGGTGGGGGTGGGGGGGCAGGTCTGTTTGACCTCTGAACCTGACCCCTTTTCTCAAGTTCTTCACCGGCAGTGGAGAAGAAAGGCAGATACTCAGCAGGACAACTGCATGTGGGTTCACTGTCTTCCGAGAGAAGCCTTCCCATCATGCTTCTCATCAGAGCCTTTGAGCCTGGGAACCCAGTGTCAAGCCCGCAGGGGATGAGGAACAGAGTGTCTGGGGACAGGGTGGCATGCCTGCCTGTACGCTCGTGAAGACTTGCCAGTGCCGTGGGGCCAGACTCGCAGAAGGGGGTGGCGACTTCCATAGGACAAACCCCAGGCCTCGTCTCCCATCTTGTGGTGAGGGGCTCAGGCTCCGTGGCGTGTGCAGACCTTTACAGCTCCCACTGCTGAGATCTACCCTCTGTGTCTGGATGCCTGCCCCCATCTCTGGGAGCTCAGAATGGCCGGTGGGCGGGCAGCTCCATTTCTCTCTGCCTCTGGCCTGAGGAAGGAGCAGGCAGGTTGGACACCCCATGGGAGCTTGTGGGAGCAGAGGAAATAGTGGGAAATGTTGTCCAGGCCCTTCTGGAAGGCTGGGGACTTGACCTGCCACATGTTCTGAGTCTGTCTGGCAACTACTACTTCTTCCCTCCCCACTGGTTAATCTTGCTCGTGGACCCACTGTCAGGACCTGTAGATATTGGGGAGGGGGTCAGACAAATCCGTCTAGGGGCTCTCAGCTACTGAGCACACAGATCCTCCTCATGAGAGAGCAAACCAGAAGGCAGTGGGTACAGCATCTCTGCATCTTAAGTGTTCACTGATTCACTGTGTTTGGCCAGAGAGAGAGAGAGAGAAACAGTTTAAATCATGTCGTGGATGCCGCCATCCATTCTCTCATCCCTCCCATGAGCCTTTGGGGCGGGCGCAGGCGGGTTGGTCACCTGCAGCTGCCTCAGCCACTCGGGGTTCTAGAGCTGCCTGTAGCTCAGGTGTCCAGCACCTGGAGGATGAGTTCGAAGTTTAAAGATGGGCCTCTTGCGGGCCTGTGAGGAGAAGTAGCCGGCGCCTCTGGGGCCCAGCTGAGGGAGCAGCCGTCCGATCCCAATGGAGGACGACTCGGCTGACCCACAGACGTTGGCAGGCTCAGTAGGGGGCGGTCCCTCCTGGTTTGTTAGTGAAAGAGCAAGTGAAAACACGTTGTACCAATTATTTTATGATGAACACTTACTACCTTCCATCTAGAGTTAAAATGAACATTTTGCCACATTTGATTTCTCACTCTCTCTCTCTCTGTATGTATATATTTTTTCCAAATTAGTTTAAAAGTAAGTTGCAAATATCGTGAGACTTGACCAAAATGCCTCCACATGCATCCCCTAAGAGTTAAGACATTGTCCTACGTATTGGCCTATATCACACTCAAGACAACAATGATTTCCTAAAAACATCTGCTATTCAATCTATGTTCACTTTTCCCCCAGATAACTTTTACACCTGGTTTTGGAATCAGGATCCAGTCAAGGTGCATACATGACATCTTATAACTGCAGTTTTTGTTCAATCTCTTAAGTGCTGAAAAGTCCTCTCTCCGCTCGCTTTGGTTTTTTAAATGATGTTATTTCTGAGGAGAGCAGGCCTCCTGTGCTGTTGAAGTCCCACATTCTGGATCTGTGTCATCATTTCTTCATGGTGTCATGGAGTATGTTCCTCTAGCCCCCGTCTTGTCAAGGGTGATTTAGGCTGTATGGATTTCTGCCTTTTGTGCTGACTTGACAACTTCACTCCAGCCTGAGATGCCCCTCTACCATCCCCTGTACCAAGTGCCAAACCAGCAGAAGGGCTAGGTGGCGCTCCAGGAGCTCAGGGAAGGGCAAGGGAGGCGACCATTGCAGCTGGGCCTGGCAGTGCTGGGCCTGCTGGGAAGGAGGTGCCTCTGGTTCAGAAGAGCCTGTGCTGCCCCCTCTGATCCTGGCGATGGACCACAGGGCACCGAATAACATCTCTCTCTCTCTCTCTCTCTCTCTCTCTCTCTCTCTCTCCCCCTCCCTCTCTCCCTCTCTCTCTGTTTTGTGGCCTCCTGGTTTTTACTTCCTGGAGGCCCGTGGTCTGTGTGCACTGGAACAGAGCCGGGCCCCTGGGATGCACCAGGGAAGGGCCTAACTGGGGAACTGCCCCCCCCCCCCCAAGCTGTGGTGTAAGGAGAAGAGCCCAGGGCTGGAGGCAGGAGATGTGAAATTTCGTCCCAACTGGGTACGTTTAGTAGCTAACGTCACGGTTTCCCCCCAGGGCCTCAACTTCCCCATTTATAGCATGAGCAGATGGGGCAATGGCAGGGGTTTTCAAATGTCACAAAGAAAGTGGATCTGCTCTAGTTGAAGTGAGCAGTTGGAGGGCCCAGACCCCTGCCCTCAGGGCAGTGCTGGGTGCCTGGGTTGCAACCTTGGGCCGGCTGCGCCCCCAGGCCTTGCCCTTGCCAGCTCGGACAGCCAGAGATTTGGGGGGGGGGCATGGGCTTTGTGAGGGGTCAATGTCAGGGGCCTGGGGAGACTCTGGCTGTGTTTTATCCTAATAAGTTCATCCCTCCCTCTCTCCTTCCTTTCTCTGGCTCTTGAGGAGAATGAAGAAGGAGAGGGTTTTCTATGACTGTGCTAGCTTTTATTATCAGCAAGAGGGCTCCTTTTGTAATTTGTGCATGAAATTCATGTCATTTCCTGGGGAGAGGAGAGGGCTGACTGGAGAGGGTGGGGGGCACGCTAGGGGAGCAGACAGGTTTCCTTCCCTTGTGGGGGTGGGGAGAGGGGGGAGAGGGGGTGCTACCCAGCTCATCTGATCAGGGCTCTCGAACCAGCCGTTTTGGGTTGTGTTAAAAGTGGGAACCTTCCTCCATTAATGTACAATCTCGAACTAACTACTAATAAAGTGGGATTCTATTTGTATGCACTGGTCATGTCTGTCTGTCTCTGAACTTTAAGAAAGGCCTGCAGGGGAGGGTGGGCATAGGGAGGTTCTCACCACAGCCAGTGTGGCCACCCCTGTGTATGGTGGAGATAAGTCATCTCACTCTTGGATCCTCAGTTTCCCTCATCTTTGAGGGGTATGGAGGAAGTTGGATTCAGTGGCCGTTCCCGGAGAATTTGCTTAAAATGCAGATCCCCAGGTCGCGTGTCCAGAGAGTCATCTCTGGCAGGTGTGAGGTAGGGCCCAGCCATCTGCATTTTAACCCCTTCACGCTGAGACACTGCACTTTGGGAAACCTGGGCTTTGAGGAGTCCTACAGATTCTCATTAATTCAGAGAGTCCCACTATCCGAGGAACCAAAACTTTGGTTAAAATACATGTCTCTCTAGCCCTCCCAGCCTGATTGAGGGCTGAGCTTGAGATTTGCCTGGGAGAGGCAGAGCAGAGAGGCCCAGTCCACTGTCTGCAACACAGGCCTCTGGACCTGCACCCTCAGGACCCCCTGTGAAGCTTTAAAACAATGTGCATCCCTGGGCTCTCTGAAATGCACTCTTTCAGAACCTCTGGGAGTGGGACCCCGCAAAGTGCATTTTAACAAGCTCCCTGATACACAGGAAGATTTGGGAACCCTGAACCAGGCCACTGAGTGCGAGGCAGAGAAGGTCCAGAGGAACGTGGACAGCTGCTGAGGGGCATGCAAGGACACAGCTGGGAACACCCACACGCGAGCCCCAATGCATGGGGGCAGCGCTTGCAGAGACCTTTACGGTTTGTCAGCTGGGAGCTTGGGACGGGTCATGTGGCATCACCAACACCACATGGCTGGAGGCTGCAGTAATGGGAGCAGCTCCGGAAGTTGTGATACAGAAGGGTTCCTGTGCCAGTTAGGGGGTCCGGCCACATTAGAGATTTTTGAGTTTTAAAATAGCCGGTATTTGTTTTTTAAAAGAAAAATTGAAAACCAGGTGAAGGTAGGGGTACTCTGGTTGGAGTGGGGTCAGGGTCTGGACTCTCACCAACTAATTCCTCCTCTCTATCCCCCATATTATCTTGGAATCCTAAAACTCCTTGAAACACAGTGTGAAATTCCAGCCCGACTGCTCTCAGAGGTGCCAAGAGTCTGCATTTCTTTTTTTTTTTAATATTTTATTTATTCGAGAGAGAGAGAGAGAGAGCACGCAAGTCAAGGGGAAAGGCAGAAGGAGAAGCAGACTCCCCACTGAGCAGGGAGCCTGATGCAGGACTCGATCCCGGGACCCCAGGACCACGACCTGAGCCGAAGGCAGACGCTTAACCGGCTGAGCCACCCAGGCGCCGCGAGTCTGCATTTCTAATAGGTTGTGTGTATAAAGGCACGTTAGACTTTCCTCATCCCCTAACTGAGGAGTCTACTCAAGGAATCTGGTACTCCAGGAGCAGTCTAGGCTCCCAGAAGTAGACATCTCCCTCAGAGAAGCTGTGGGTCATGTGCATAGGGCAGTGCGTTCCATAATAGCAAAATGCTGGAAACAACCTAGATGTCCACCCGTGGGGGGGTCAGCTACGTAGCTGCTAGTGTAGCCACACGTGGTACATGATGATGCAGTTGAAAATAATGAGCTCCGTCTTCAAGTCCTCCCAGGGAGATTTCTATGAGACTGACCTACAGTGTGACCATTTTTGGAAGGAGTACTACATAGTGTGTATTCTTCCTGGGAGTGTCGATACATACCTCTCATACCAAACTGATAACTGGTTACTTCTGGAGGAGGGAGAAGAGACCCGGAAGAGGGCAAAGGTTCAAAGGGCACTTCAGCTTTGGCTGCAACACTTTTTAAAAAACAAAGATAGGATATTTGTACATCACTTGTGGAATGAAAGTCTTAATAAAAAATAACTAGAATGGGTGATGCCAAAAGGGAGGCCCAGGCGCTCGGACTAGTGTAGGGATTATGCTATGAAGGCAGCACAGGTGTCCAGGACCCAGCCCTTGGGCTCCCATCAGAGCTTGGGGCCGTGGAGGGGGTGGAGGGGGCATTCTTGCCTTTGCCACAGCTATCCTGAGCACTCCTCAAGATCCTGAGCTGAGGATCCTGACTCGCTGGGAGACAGTAGGCAGGTCTCCCCTCCCTCTCTGGTCCGCAGAGCCCAGCTCCCACATGCTAACAGATGGGGGAGTGTTAGAGCCTACATCATCAGAACTGGACAACCTGACGTGGTATGGGACGGATTCTGCTGAACGCCTGTGAAGTTTCCGACAAAAGCGTAACATGAATCCAGCCAGCAGGTACATCTCTGTTGAGAGATAGTTTGTGAAATAACTGGCCTGAACTCTAAAAAATCACAGTCATGAAGGATAAAGGCTGAGAAATGGTTCCGAATTAAAGGAAAGTGAAGACATCTGGCAATCACATGTCCTGTGTGACCCTGGAAGGGGTCCTGGGCCAGGAAACAATCAGCTATAAAGGATGCCAGAGGGAACACTGGCAAAATGTGGAAACGGACTTTATGGATTGGGTATGGTGTTGTATCGATGTTAAATGTCCTCATTTTAATAATTATACTCTTATTTAAGAATATAGAATTTTCCTTAAGAAGGTCACGCTGAAGTATTTATGGGTAAAAGGGAGGAAATGGAGCTTGAATTTGGGCTTATCCTGTGCAGTCTAGAACTTGTCCAGCAAGGGGCAGTGTGACCCCAGCTTCTCACAGCTAGCGTCCCTGCGAACCTCTACACAGAAGATTGGGCTGGTGGTTAATGGTGGGGGTGGGGAGTAATAATGTTACAAATAATAATATCAATCAGTTACATCATATGAATACTAAAAAGCATTTCTCACTGTCAGGCAGGCCCTCTGCTTGCCAAGGACCACCTCTTTTAATCCTTGCAACAACTCTCTGAGGTTAAGGGTTAGAATCATTCCCATCATATAGATGAGGGATCTGAGGTTCAGAAAGGCTAAGTAACTCTGCCAGGATCACACAGCTAGGAGTCCTTGGTCAGGGAGACTCCACAGCCCATAGCACACGGGGTTGTACTGCGCAGGTGATCAGGCATGGAGCAGGATAGGAGAATCTACCCTCCCCCATGTTCTATCTCCAACCACGGGGAACTCTGGACTCTGGCTTCCCAAACACCTACCAGCGCCAGACATGGACACTTCTTGCCTCAGAATCAACTGAGCGGATTTTTAAATTAAACTACCTGGCCATGTTGCTCCAGATTCTGCTGCAGGAACTCTGGGAAGGGCCCAGGAATCTGTGTTTTACCAAGTTCCCCAGGTGTTCTGTCACATCACCAGAGGCTGGCAAGTCTCGGTCACTTCAATCCAGCATGTTTTCTTCCTGCCTTCTACAGCGCCAGGCCGTGTGCTTCTGGGATAGAACATAGACGCGGATCCCTGCCCCAGACAACCTCCCAAGAAGCACTGTAAATTCCCTCTCCTTCAAGACTTCCCCCTTCCCCTCCATTATGACATTTTTGGAGGCTTATTTCCTCTGCCTGTCAAATCCACAGCCCTTAAATCTCTATTCGTACAGGAAGTCGTCCTGGCTTGCCTCTACATACTCTCTGATCTCAGATATCTATAGATGGTCATTTAAAAAAAAGGAAATATACTATTAAAGAGTATGATACAATAATACAGAATATGAAGTATGGGTTATAGTGCAGATAATTTTATTATAGTGTATGTCTATATTATCAAATGGCATATATTGTTATTATACTACAGTTAGGTAGATGATAGGCATTTCATCCCAGGGCATACCTTTAGGCCTGATGTGGTAGAGCTAAGAAGGCCCATTTAGGGGGCGCCTGGGTGGCTCAGTCGGTTGAGCATCCGTCTCTTGATTTCAGCTCAGGTCATGATCTCAGGGTCGTGGGATTGAGGCCCATGTGTCAAGCTCCACGTTGAGCCCCACATTGGGCTTCATACTAAGCGTGCAGTCTGCTTGTTCCTCTCCTTCTGTTCCTTCCCCTGCTCACGCTCTCCTCTCTCTCAAATAAATTAATTAAATTTAAAACAAAAAGAAGGCCCACTTAGTCTCTTGGTTCTTCTCTTTCCCATTTTACAGATAGGTAAATTGAGACCCCGGGGCAGGTAATGGGGCTCTGGTGCACTTAAAGATCCTTGGTCCCCATACCACCTATTCATGAAACTATAAGCTCACCCGTGACTGAACCCCAAGTCTCTAACCACCTGGCTCATAGCAGCTTGTGGTCTAAAGAGGGGAGGCAGAGAGAAGTCCTCCGTGGCCAGCCCAGCCCCCACCCAGCCCCTCGTGTGAAGGAGGGCCAGGGCCCTCTGCACAAGCTGGAGTCAGTTACCCAGCTGTTTATGGGTCTTTGCCTCTGGTGTTTATAGTTCCGCCTTCGGGTCTGCTTTGTGTCCCCACTAATTAGAACAATACTCCAGGAGGCGGCGCAGGGTGGTGGGGGACCACTGACGGGGAGCAGCGGGCTGGACCTGTGCCCTGGCTTCTGCCTTGCCTCACTCCAACAAGGATTTCGGGTCCTTTTCAAGGACATACAAGGGACAGCAAGATGGCATCAATTAAAATCAGGTGAGAGAACAGGCACATGGGGGAGGGGAAAAGGCTAGACAAAGGCTAAGAAATGCAGGCAAAATTTGGGGCCAAATCCTTCCTTTTAAGAAAATACACTTTTTATTTTTTATTTTTTTATTTGTATTTATTTATTTTTTTTTATTTGACAGAGAGACGGGAGAGAGGGAACACAAGCAGGGGGAGCAGCAGTGGGAGAGGGAGAAGCAGACTCCCTGCTGAGCAGGGAGCCCTATGCGGGGCTCGATCCCAGGACCCTGGGATCGTGACCTGAGCCAAAGGCAGACGCTTAACGACTGAGCCACCCAGGTGCCCCGAAAATACTCTTTTTTAAAAGAAAATCACAAAAATGATAGATGTCCATTGTGGAAAACTAAGAACATACAGACAAATGAGAAGAAAATTTCTGAAACTGTACCCCACCGTTGCTCAT